GGGGGGGGGGGAGAGGTGGAGCGGCAGCCAGAGACAAAAACAGTCTATAGATAAAGAGCGAGTAAAAGACTGGAGAGGGGAAGGCTTATGAGAAGAGACAGCCAGGCGGAGAGGCAAGACCTTCAAATAAGACCAGAGACTGACTTCAAGACTGACTTCAAGACGTACTTCAAGACGTACTTCAAGACGTACTTCAAGACTGACTTCACACCCAGAAAACAACGAGACCTATCGCGCTGTAGCGCTTCACGACGACGTTTCGGACGGAGTCACAGGCGAAGCACGCGATACATCATCAGCGAGCAATCAGACGTGATGGCCACCCGCTAGGGGTTCCGTGTATCCGCCTCGCGCACCTGGTACTTGAGAAGCGCCTCGGAGGGAAGCTGCAATTCCTTGTACATGAGCGCCAGCGACTCCTTCACCACGAAAAACTGTCCGAAATCCCACCTTGATCGGAGGGGAGAGGGGGGGACGTTGGGGGTGGTGCTCATCATGCTGCATATGGCCGTGTGCAGTCCTCAGACCACGTCCACCTTCAAGCGCTCACATGAAAGAAGCCACGGCTTGGTCACAAACCCATCGCGCCCATAATTACACCAGCAGCTACATCACCACCACCTCCAGCAGCAGCAACAACAACAAACAAGCAGCTGCAGCAGCAGCAGCAGCAGCAACAACAACAACAACCACCACAAATCGACTACTACAGCAGCAGCATCAACAACAACAACAACAACAACAACAACAACAACAACAAATAAGAAGCTGCAGAAGCAACAGCAGCAACAACAACATCCACGTCAACAACAACAAAAAGGCGGCAGCAACGAAACCACCACCACCGCCAACAGCAACAAAACAATCACGAACACGATGACAACCACGGCAAACAAAACTTCCTGCCATCCCTCCCTCCCCCTCACCCGATCATCCCCCGCGTGGCGTCGAGGTGGCCGAGCTCGCTAGCGTAGCACCTTACCCTCGCCTCGAAGACCTCCAGCACCACACGGCCAACCTGTCGTAGTAGCATCGAGTTAACGGCATCAACACGCAACACATCAAGCCATCAAATACCACGTCGCAAACACCCTACGCGAGTCAGACGAATCACTAGATGCGGGCGAGCAGTGAGCACGTAGCGCGCAAAGATGGTACGGGGGGGAGCCGCACCTGCATGATCCCTCGCACCCATTAAACGATAGCGAACACCAACAAAAAATGCTATGGACGGCCTAGATGCCGCCGCTCTCGCAAAACGCTCTAGATTCAGAAACCAAACCAAACATGATACACGTCCGTGTACGACAGCGGGTGTCCTTGTTTATCGACATGCATTCCAAAACAAGAACGAACCGAAAAAAACGAGATTTTGGCACGCAAGTAATCAACCCCCCGCCGCTTCTTCCGCTGCTGTCGCCTACAAACGTCGTTGTCAAATAGCGGCAATGCGTTGACATTTCCAAAGAAGGGAGCCGCCATGAAACTCGTCCTGGGCATCCCAAACGGCCATCCAAGCGACAGTAGCGAAGCAAAGCGAGAAGGGAGCTGCTACGCATACGACAGCCAGAGCAACCAATAACGATAGCAGGTGCGGAAACTGCATACGGCAAAGAGGGCTTGCTGTCGGTGGTCACAGTTGCCACGCACACCCACACGCACGTCTCTTCCGATGACGGCGTACAACAAACGATTTGGGATACTTCATCTGGTGCTAAATTTTCTGTCTCTAATCCGAACAATCAGCCTAGTCGCTCCCATGATACCGCCTCAATCGGTCTCAGACCATGACCTACAGAAGCACCTAGTGTTTTCAATCGCACTTCAGCTAACGCACCCCCATTGGCCAACCGGTGAGCACGGGTGATGCTTCGCAAAAGAAACACACAACACATCAACGGCAAGAAGATCACCTTGGCGAGGAGGTCGCTCCACTGCTTGGGGTGATGGCGCGGGCTTGCGCTTGGCCTCGACCTCGCCAGCATCTTCGGTCGTGTCCAAGAGCGTCGAAATGCGCGCACAAGAGAACAGGGGTGGGGGGGGGGGGGGGGGGGGGGG